TGTCTGCAGACCGCTGCGCCGGGCTGCGCCCTTGACCGAAAGACGCCCCATAAAATAATTGTACTTTCACACTCGCACAACAGCTATTACCGGACCGCGTGTCCCTGCCGGCCCCGCCGCGCGCGGCCCCGTGCAGCCCCGCGCAGCCCCGTGCAGCCCCGCGCAGCCCCGCGCGGCCCGAACCTGGAGCCGCTGGAACCTGGTGGCCGCCGCAGCCTCTTCCCCTCCGCCCTGCCGTTCCGGTCGGTCTGCAGGTGCCTAGGCAGGGGCTCCACTGAAGGCGATGGATGGATCATCTCTTGACAATTGCTGGGCATAGCTTCGGTCCGGCCGGCGCCGGGGTAATTTCACCTCGTCAAGGACGGCACTGGCTCCGCTGTGACGCCCATGCGTGTACAACCACACACACACACTCTCACACACAACGTGCACGACTTGGGCTCACAATGGTTCGGAGTGATGGCACCACGACACGGCCCACCTGCAGGCCGAGCCGTCGGCCTGCCTGGTCTGCCTCGCACTCCAACAGCAGGGCCAAGCAGGGCTCGGATCAGAAGGGCCACCTCTCTGGGCCACCTCTCTGGGCCACCACACGCACCGCACGCGCTTCCTGCTAACTTTCCCACCGCGCCGCGCCCCACCCCGCCCCCCGTGCCTACTCCTAATTAAAGAGCTCCGAATCAGCTCCTGATGTGTTTCAAGGCCGCGCCCCGCCGCGCCCCGCCGCCGCGCCCCGCGCCCCGGATCGCGAAAACGCTGAGAGAGAAAGCAGCTCGCCGCTCCCCTCACTGCACCGCGCCGCGTGCGTCTGATTTGTGAGTCGGTAGTGAGGTGCGCGCACTGTATGGTCATTCTCTTGCCTGCAACCTGATTTATTTATATTTTTACGCTTTACTCGAGCGCGGTGGTTGTGTGAGCGCGGCGCGCCAGCCGTGTCGCAAACGATTCTTTCTTTCGCAAAAGGCGGCGGGCAAGAGGCAAACGGCAGAAGGCTGGACCTCCGTGAATGTCCGGCCAGGCCATCCATTTGCCGGCGCACTTAGGACGCCGTGCTGGTCGCGCTGTTGCACGCCTCATGACGACAGACGACAGCGAGCTCGTCGTCGCGGAGTCGCCGGCCAGCCTTCCTGCTCGCGTTTCGGACGCCGCTGCCGTCCTGGCGGGGGCAGGGGCCGCATTCGAACGCGCCAGTGACGGTGGCTTTTTCTTGTTCCTGGTGTCATGTCATACCGTACTTCGAGAGCAGCAGCCACCTAAACGGCAGAACCGCGGTTTCGAAGAGCCGAAAAGCCACCGCCTGCAGCTACTTCGCTACCCACGGCCGCCCACTGTAAGTCCCCGTCCCCCGCGACAGCAACACTCGCGTAACGGGCGCCTCCTCTGGCCGCTGGCCGCGCCACCCACTCCGGCCTTTCTACGAATAAACCTGAATTCATGTCGTGTTTGGACTGCAGCCCGAGATTTATCATCGCGTGGCCTGTCCGCTCCTCTGCCTGTCGCGGCGGGGCGGGGCGGGGCGGGGTGCGGCGGGGAAGCCACTACGTCAACCTCCGCGATGGAGAACTCCTCTCCCTGCCCCGCTACTTTCACCCACAGATCAACCGGTATTACGTGAGCCTGGCCGGCAAAGTATGACAATCAAATCTGGAGCGGTGGCGCGTCGAGCGGCCAGCAGACGACGGCCGGGCCGGGCCGCAGGGTTTCACGAAAGGCAAAACGCCGGGACGACGGCGCGGCCCGAACACTTCTGCGCCGCACCCGAGCCTCGCCCGAGCCTCGCCCGGCCCGTGCCCCGCCCCATGATTTGCGGGAAAACGGACAGTCGGGTCTCCGGGCAGGATTTTCCATTCGACATTGGGGAACACGGTCTGGTGACTCCAACGAGTCCGGCGGTGATGCCCCGTGTCGTCGGCGAGGCCACCGCACTCTTGGGGAGCTCGTCCCTTTCGCCGCGAACGCGAATACGAATATGGATGTGCAGGCTGCAGCCTGCAGCGAGGTGAACGGTCTCCGGCGGGGTGCCGCTCCGGCCCGCGCCCCCCGCGAGCTCACACGCGTAACCCCCGTGTCGGTCTGTCTCCCTCACTCCCTCACGGGGCGCCCCTCCAGTGCGACAGAGAGGGAGAGTGACGGACGTCCCGCTCGGAATGAGTCGGTTGGTCGCGGCCGGTGCATGGCGCTTCGAGGTAGGCGGCGGGTGCTTAGCAATGTTCTGCTCTGCTCCGCCACGGCTCCGCCGCTCCGCCGCTCCGCCGCTCCGTCCGTCGGTCCGCCGCTCCGCCGCTCCGCCGCTCCGTCCGTCGGTCGAGTAACGCCACGGCGCGCTGGACCGACACGCCCCGACTCTCCGGCTTGGCGTGGCGTGGCCGATCGCGCACCGGGCAAACCGGCAAACCGGCGTGGCCAAAACAATTTACGTTACTTCATGCACGAAGACACCGGGACAGTAACCATCCCTACGCGGACGCGCGGACGCCGGTTTCAATTTCGGCCGGAGCTTCCGTTTCCGGACCGAGCCGGGGCCCCTGCCCGTCGGCGTGATGCTGTCCCGCAGCACAGGCCTGAGTGGCGGGACTGCCTACCCACAAGGCGTCTTGGCGCGGCAATTGCTACTGCTGGCCGGACCTCAAATGATCGAATGCCTTTCAGGCCCGATCGGCCACGGTGACTCACCAATCGTTGGCAGATCGTCTCTACTTAGAAGAATGGCTATCTCGGCAGACGCGAGAACATTTGCCCACGGAATCTGATTTGCAGATCCCACCACCATGCAGTGCGCGCACTACCTCCACGAGGCTCCAGAAAGCGTCACGGAGCGAGAAACACACACTGCACTGCGTTCACTGACGTTTACCGAACGCCAGTTTCCGCGGCCCAGCGCGCCGGCGATACTCCACGCGCACAGGGCGCTACTCGGGCAACGGCGATACTCCGCGCCGAGGAACGCGGAGTATACGGGCCGGTGTGTACAGTACCGGCCGACCGCCGCACGGCTCGAGTCGAACACAGCACACAGCATCACAGCATGCGGGCAGCCGTGCCAACAATGAATCCGTGGAGTATCGCTAATCGACAGCTGGACGCGGGGTATCAACGCGAAACAAACCTGTGTGAAACCGAGTGTCGAACTTCCAATCTAAACGCAAGGGGTGAACTCGAGTTGATTTTGATCCCTGAATTTACAACGCGTTTTTGTTGTTGTTGTTGTTGTTGTTGTTGTTGTTGTAATCTTCACAGAGCCGAGAGGACGCAGCCACGCTGGCGGTCGTGGTCACCGCGGAGACACCGAGGTCTGGTACACTGGGAGCAGAATCCCAGTCCTCGTTCCCCATTTCTCCAATAACGCGCAGTCATCGACGTTCTGAACGACTTTGGAACGCGACCAGCAAGAGGACAGCGGCACCAGTGGCACTTGCCTCAATAAGGCTCATTGGCAATCTTGTGAGGCTGCAGTGCGCCAGCCCAGCGGCAGGGGAAGGGGCCAGGCCTTGGGCCAGGCCGGCTGCCCAGTGGAGTGGGGCACTGGGAAAGTCCGGGAGGACCGGGACGGACCGGGACGGACCGGGATAGGGGATAGGTGCTTGTCCTCGCTCCACTGCAGCTGGGACCGGCTGGGGCGCTCCAAGCGGGGGCGGCTGGCGCCATGTGAGGCAACCAAAAGGTCCGCAGGCTCCACGGGCGGGAATAGGGGTGGGGCTGGGTACTGAAGCACGTAAATCCGAACCCATCGGCGGAACCGACGGAGGAGGGGGAGAGTGTGCTTCGGAGCGCGGCAAAATCAATCCCCGGCCGGTGTCAACTGCGGGGTACGGCGAGACACGCGTGGTCCACTCTGTTCATCACGCCGTCTCGCTGATTCCGTTGCTGTGTCTCTCTCCCCAGGGGTGCGAGAGACACTGTGGGACTGCGGGGTGCGCAGACAGGCGCAGGGTCGTTGAAAGCGTGGAAAGTGCCCCGCCAGCCGCCAGGCCACCCCGTCTCGTCTCGCCTCGTCCCCGCCGGGCCGGGCCCGGGCCGGGGATGAAGGCAAGCGTGTTCTACCTGGTTGCGGTGCGGCCTTCTCCTTCACCTTTCGCGCAAAGGGAAGAAGGGGGCGCAGGGCAGCGCAGGGCAGCGCAGGGGGACGCTGTGTAGCGGAGCGGTGCCGTGCCGCCGTGCCGCCGTGCCACGGGTGGGTGCTGGAAGGGGAGGCAGCCCGTCCGCCGCGCCGCCCCCGCGCCACCCCGAAGGCTATCGATCCACACCGCGCCGCGCCAAAGCCAACCAGCACGCTGCCAGGCTGCCAGCCCCAGAGCCAGGCCCAGAGCCAGGCCCAGGCCGCCCGCCACTGCCAGCGCCTCAGTCCGCATTGTGAGCGGGAGGCGTCGCGACGCTCGTCAAGGGAGGCGCCGCGACGCCGCGCGACGCGCCGCCAGAGCCACGAGCAGCGAGCAGCGAACAGCGAGCAAGCGACCAGCCCCAGTAGAGCCTCGCCTGGGCTCGCCGCGCCGCTGCCGCTTGCACCCCGGACCGCGCAGGGCAGCGCAGCGCAGCGTACCCATGTGACTGGACGAGCCCCGCACCCGCACACCGCCGAGGCCAGGCCCAGGGCCATGTTGCCTCCGCCCGCTCCGCCCCACGAGCTGCTTTTCCCGAAGGCCGAGGACGTAGTGGCGGCGGTCGCAGGTGACGCCGGCAGTGGTGGCGGCGCCAGCCTCCGCGCGAGCCTCCGCGGCCTAGGCGGCGAGGGCGAGGGCGAGGGCGAGGGGGTGGGCCCGGTGGGCTGGTCGACGGGCACGTGGGCCGAGGGGGTGCCGCCGTCCTGACGAGGAGTATCGACGACGCCCGTGCGCTGGTGGTGCTGCCTGGACATGTCCATGTCGGCGCAGGGCGTGGTGGAGCGGGCTTCGGCCGAGCTCAGCAAGCGCATCTCCGGCCTGGGGCTCCGGGGCAGCAAGCAGCGCGATGCCTCGCCGCGCTCCCCCAGGGCGTCGCCGAGGGCCTCGCCCCGGGCCAGCGTCATGGAGCGCGTCACCAACGTGCTGTGCGGCAGCCCGCTGCCGGCGCCGCTCGCCCCCAACGCCCCCGAGAAGCCGTCCCGGCTGCTGTGCAAGGCGGGCAGGGTGTCCGTCGAGGTGTCGCCGCGCTCGGGGCCCGTGCCGCCCCCGCGCAGGCTGGCACCGCAGATCAACACGCCGACCACGTGGGAGCAGCTGCTGCTGGACGACCGCTTCGGCAACCGCCTGCTCGAGTACCTGTCGCCGGGGGAGAAGCGCGTGCTGGCGCAAGTGTGCCCGCGGTGGCGGGACCTGCTGTACCGGTCGCCGCGCCACTGGGCCGGCCTGCTGCCCGTGGTCCGCTGCGCCGAGCTCAGGCCCTGCACGCAGCAGGAGCGCGACCGGCTGTACGTGTCGCTGGTGCGCAGGGGCTTCCACGCAGTGTGCCTGCTCGGCGCCACGGACGAGGACGCCCTGGACCTCGTGGCCTCCTTCCCCGCCGCCTCCAAGCACATCCATTCCCTGAGCCTGCGGTGTTCCGCCGTCAGCGACCGCGGCCTCGAAGCGCTGCTTGACCACCTGCAGGTAAGCACCACGCCGGCCGCGCCGCACCGCACCGCGCCGCGCGTGCAGCGGGGAAAGGGAAACCATACAACAAAGAGACTCGCGCACCGTGCACCGTGCACGTGGATGGGGTGCTCGCCCGCCGGGCTTACGGACGGCCTGGCGCGGAACTCGCAGACGGGGATCAGAGCCACCCCACAGGGTGACTGCGGCACTGTCACTCGAGCTGTCCCCGGACTTCTCCATATCTGAGGCGCAGTAATCTCAAAGGTGCGAAGCAGCGGAGCGACACTAGCACAATCCCTCATGGAGTTTGGGGGGGGGGGGGGGCGCTCCATGCTGAAGATTGTATACTCGAGCCTCCAGCGTCGCTCCAAATCATCTCCGGCTTAGGCTGGGTCAGGTGAAAAGGTTACCCCGCTGGGAAAGGGGGAAAAGGGGGGGGGGGCTTTGGCAATAACCTGCGGCGGCAATCAATCCAGGAGCCTCATCTGCAACCCCAAGCCGCTACCCCCCCCCCCCTTCCCCTCTTTCCAAGAGCCTCAAACCACACACCGGGCCCGGAGACTTTCTGCTTACGTCACGGCCCCGATACGCCCTGCTGATACAGAGGGTGTAATGGTATTGGACGGGGCGCGAGGGCCGTTCGACCAATCAGATGCGGGCCGTCGTTGGGACGTTAGGGCGTTGGGGGTGGTGCCGCGCCACTGTGATGAATGGCAGCTTATTTGTCTGGCGAGGCAAATCGATATAATAAGTTGGGCCTAAATAAGGTCCTCTGGGTCCTGGGGACGCGCGACGCACGCCGTGCGACGCGTCCGTTCACCTGACCGGGGTCAGGGACGAGGACAAGGACGTCGGCGAGGGCTCTGTCCCTCTCGCAGCCCTACACTGCCAATCCAAGTGTACGGAACGCCCGATGAGCGTGACTGAGACAGAGCAACGAAACGGCTGTAGGGCATCATGCTGCTTGGTCCAGCATCCAGGCCGCCTCGGTTCAGGTCCCAAACACCAGCGAGTTGTTTGCGTGCCGGGAGAGGCTGGCGGGCGAGCGGCGGAGAGCTGCGGTACGGCGGGAAGCTCGGCGGGCGATCGACAACAGCGAGCCTGAGCCTAGCCCAGCCAGCCAGCCCAGCCCCTGCAGCGTCAGCGCGCCAGCAGCAGGAGTCGCGGCCTGCCGTGGCCTGCCGCCCGATGCCGGAGAACGTTTCGCCGCTCCGTCTCTCTCGCACCTCTACGGGACGCCCTACGAGTGCAAGAGAGACAGCGCGACGAGGCGATCCTTCGGAATGAGGCGGCTGAGCGCGTTGCCTGGCAACCGCGTCCCCTCGCCACGCCGCCCACGCGGGCCGGGCAGGGCCGGGACGGGACGGGGAGGCTCCGCGCCGCGCCACCCCCCGCCACCCCTCGCCGACCCTCCGCGACAACTTGACCCGCTGGCTGCCGCCGTCGGTGCGGTGCGGCCAGGACCGCCAGGGCGGCCAGGGCGATGCATTTATGCCCCGTTAGCCGGAGCACGGCCCCGGCCCCAAGGGGGGCCGGCCTGGCCCTATCCGCAGCCCCAACCCCAGCCGCGCACCGACCTCGAGATTAGCCAATCTCCGGAACTAATCAGCCGAAATTATCCAGGCCCGATTGGCCGATCTGCAATCCAGTTTTCTGGCCCCAGTGGCCAACGCCGCCGGAAACGGGCTTGGCGCGGGGCGTGGCGTGGCGGGGGCGCAGCGTCGCAGTGCGGCGGCTTTGAGAACGAAATCGCGCTTGCCCGTGTGACTGGGCTTAACCGGGGTGCAGTCGTGCAGCACACAGAGGGGATGAGACCCAGAGGCCAGAGCCAAGAGGCCAGAGGGCCCCGAAGGAGACCGTGCATCCTTTCTCTGGCAGCCCCAGCCAGGGCTCCACCCCTGTCGAGAGAGGCTGCCGAGAGGGGCGGCTGCGCTGCTCTCATCCAGAAGAAAAAGAGGGAACAAGTCCCAGGGGAATCTTGTTCCACATTTCAACAACATACTGCTCACTCCCTTCGGTTTCGGTTGCATTGATTTTCCGAGGCCGCGACACGCATGACCGATGCCAGAAGAGCACCTGTCCACACTCACACACTCACACTGTGCTGACGTGCCGCCACCCGTCACTCTCGGCGGCGCGGGGGAGCCACTGTTAAAAGCGGGTTCGATTTTTCGATCCCGAAAAGAAAAAAAAACGATCTGAAACTAGATTGAGCCCGATTTTCGGACACAAGTGGGTTCGGCTTATCAACTCTGCACTCAAAAACCAAACCTTTCGAGGTCGAAAATGGAGCTCAATGTGGATCGATCTAGTTTCGGGCGGTTGTTTCTCTGGTTTGAAAATGGCACCGAACCCTCCCACTGACTTCCGCCGCCGTGCGGTTGGGCTCCCCTGGCAGCGTACCGCCCTGGCAGTCCTAGGACAGTCCTAGTAGCCCCTGGTACTGAAAAAGGAAGTTCCATCACTCGATACCCACCCCGTCCTGCACGTGCCCTGCACGTGGTCAGCACGCCCCGCCCCGCCCCGCCCCGCCCCGCCGCACCCCGCGCCCTCCTTATCCCGACCCATTCACGGCAAACGCGTTGCTGCGACCCAGAATAGAATCGACCCGGCCACCCGGCCGCGCTGTGCCCAGGCTGTGCCGCCGCGCCGCTCGGGAAGGCCCGGAAGGCCCGGAAGGCCCGGAGCGCCCGGAAAGGCCCGGCCCGGCAGCGTAGCAAGCGGAGCTGCGAGAGGGCCTCCACCGCCACCGCCTCGCCACGCAGCCACGCCAGGCCGGGCCCGGAAGGTCCAGCAGGGGACCGATTCGTCGCTGTCTCTTTCGCACCTAAACGGCGCGCCCTGTGAGCACGAGAAAGACACAGCGACGGAAGCGACTCTCGGAATCAGTCTGCAGGCTCCGGGTCCTGCGGCACCGCCGACCGGAAACGGGGGGAAAGGCCGGGAGGGACGCCGTCGAGGTACCGACGTCTCGACGTCCAGGCCAAAGGTCGCCTCGCGGCAGGGGCAGGGGGCGAGGGCGACGCTGTGCGGCGAAGCGCGGCGGCGACCACCCTGCATCCCGCGTGCCCCCAAGGCCCTCAAGATGCCCGACGTGATCCTGATTTGACGTTGCTCTGCTTGCAGGCGCTGTTCGAGCTGGAGCTGGCGGGCTGCAACGAGGTGACGGAGGCGGGGCTGTGGGCGTGCCTGTCGCCGCGCCTCGTCTCGCTCACCCTCACGGACTGCATCAACGTGGCGGACGAGGCGGTGGGCGCCGTGGCGCAGCTGCTGCCCTCGCTGTACGAGTTCTCGCTGCAGGCGTACCACGTCACGGACGCCGCGCTCGGCTTCTTCTCCAACAAGCAGGCCGAGAGCCTCACCGTGCTGCGGCTGCAGTCGTGCTGGGAGCTCACCAACCACGGCGTCATCAACATCGGTACGTCGACACGCTCTGAATGAAGGGCCAGCGGTGCTTAGCAAATGGCCTGTCGCGGCGCCAAGGGACCAGACATGAGAAGTAAAATGATTTAGCCGCGATTACCGGCCGAGGTATGTGGGTGTGTGCGCGTGTTGCCATGCAGTCCGTGCAACGGCGTGAATGCTCTTGGCCTGGGGCGTGCCAAGGCGGGCTGCGGTGGATTGCGGCGGTGGGTCGTGGTGGGTCGCGTTGGTGGGCCGTGGGCCCGGCGCCAGGAGGCGCCAGGAGGCACGCACCCGCGGCCCGCAATCCCCGCCTCGCCCCGCTACGCGCTGTGTTTGTCAACAGGGCGGAAACAGTGAGGCCTGGCCGGCCTGGCACGAAACACAAAACGCCGTGGCGCCGGGAATTCGTCTGGTGGGTGCATCGCATCGCATCGCGCGCATCCCGCTCAAAAATGATCCCCATTTATAAATAATCCCGCGCGGTGAGTCAGCGGCGCGGTGCTCGCGACGCGTCGTCTGCCGATGCCCGCCTCTACGCTAGTGGTCTCTAGGACCGCCCCGCCCCGCCGCGCCCCGCCGCGCCCCGCCGCGACGCTGTGGAATGCCTTGGCACGCCTCGCACCGCGGTGGGCCCGGGGCGCGTGACGTCCGCCGGTAACGCGATGGACGTCCGTCCAATAACGTCAGTGCAAGTCCGCTTTCTTTCTGGCTTTCGTTTAAAATAAGTGCCCGCCATCTATTTTCGATGCAAATGATTGCGAGGCGGGCCGGGCCGCGGCCCCGCCGACGCGGCGCGCTATGCAACATGCAGCATGCATGCCACGCCAGATTCCACGGGCCTGGAAGGACGACTGGCCTCGCCTCGCGCTCCAAGGTGACCGAAACTCCACTATAAATACTCGAGTCGGGTCGAGTCGATTGAGGAGGCTCTCCAAGGGCCCTCCAAGGGGCCCCAAGGGCTTTCCAGCCCCTTTTAGACGCCACTCGGCCCCGCGAGGCCCTGCCGGGTCCGCCGCCACGACGGCCACGACGAGGACTCGGCGGCACACAGTGGGCGGAGGCGGCCAAAACTCTTAACGCGTTTCGAGCTCCAGAATCGCTAAATGGGACTCGAACCGATCGTGTGACCCCGCCAATGGATTGCTCTTTGAACGAGGAATCCATCGGTGGGGTCACACGTTCGGTTCGAGTCCTGTTTAGCGACTCTGGAGCTCAAAACGCGTCTAGAGTATTGGCCACCCCCACAGGTCTTCTGGCCCACTGTGCGGCTTTGGTCCGGCCCGCAGCACGCGGCTGGGTTCCGGTTGCCTACCCTCTTCATCACAGGCGCTAGGCGGACTTGCGGACTGCGCTCCAGCCAAGACTCCAGCGCGCGGCTCGGCCGGCCGGGGCGCCACAACGAAAAAGATAAAAAGAAAAGGGTGGAGTAGCGTCCGTCGCCACTGTCCGCGGGCCGGGCGGGCCGGGCGGGCCGGGCGGGGTGAGGGGTCACGCGGCGGGTTCATTGGCCACTTGTTTCCGCGGCTCGCGTGCTGGCCGCTGGGCTGGCTGCTGGGCCGGCCGGCTGGCCGCGGTGGCAGCCCTTGGGCAGCCCCACGCAGAGAGCGACAGCGCGATAGCCATGCACCGCGAGAAAGGGCGCCGTCAACTGAAACCTTCCAGCCACCCGATTTGCGTACAACATGTTGGAGACATCTTCGCGCCTCTCAACCAATCCAACAAACGCGTAGTGTCACTAAATCACTGAATGCTCACGTTGATTCACTCTTCCCCGCAGTGCACTCGCTGCCCAACCTGACGGTGCTCAGCCTGTCGGGCTGCAGCAAGGTGACGGACGAGGGCGTGGAGGTGATCGCCGAGAACCTGCACCTGCTGCGCTGCCTGGACCTGTCGTGGTGCCCGCGCGTCACGGACGCGGCCCTGGAGTGCATCGCCTGCGACCTCAACCAGCTGGAGGAGCTCACCCTGGACAGGTAGAGTACAAAGCACGCCGCTAAAAATATAGGGGTCCGTGTGCAGCGGCGTGACCAGGGCCAGGGCCCTGCAGGGCTTTGGCCAGGACTCGCTCGGCCTAATGGCTATCAGGGCGTGCTTGGCGTGCTCAGTGGGCAGCGCGGGGAGGGGAGGGAAGGGGGCATGTCCAGCTATTCATACACCGTCGTATCGATCTCGCCTGGTAATTCCGCCTTCCGCCCGCTGGTCCTGGCCGTCCAGGCTCCGCGGCCGAACCGGCCGTGTTTCGCCTTTGCCCCGCGACGGCCATGACACGAGGCGGCCTACTAAACGTCTTTTCGTGTTCGCGTTGCAGGTGTGTTCACATCACGGACATCGGCGTGGGCTACATCTCCACCATGCTGTCGCTGAGCGCGCTGTTCCTGCGCTGGTGCTCGCAGGTGCGGGACTTCGGGCTGCAGCACCTGTGCGGCATGCGGAACCTGCAGGTGTTGTCCCTCGCAGGTGAGTCCAGGCCCTCGGCGTGTTTGCTCGGTCCACCCCGGACGGCAAAGGGGAGGGGAGGGGGAGGGGTGCGAGCACGAAAGCGAGCGCCGCTTGCCGTCACGCGAGGGTGGGTGGCGCCATGGTGGCGGCGTGGCGCCTACCGGTTGCCTACCCTCGCGGGGCCGCAGCGTGCCTTTTCTCTCTGGCTCTCGAGTCGAACGCCGTTTCCCTCTCTGTCTGGCAGGGTGCCCGCAGCTCACGTCCAGCGGGCTGTCCAGCTTGATTCAGCTTCGCCACCTCCAGGAGCTGGAGCTCACCAACTGTCCCGGCGCGTCCCAAGAGCTGTTCGAGTACCTCCGGGAGCATCTGCCCCGCTGCCTGGTCATCGAGTAGACCGCGCCGACGGAGCCCCAGACGCGCGGATCGCGGACGCTGTCCAACCTCACGCCAAACACCGAGACCGAGGGTCCCGAGAGGCCTCCCCGTCGCACGCCGGGCTTTCGCGTCCGGACGGGCCCCTTTTCGTTTCTCTCTTCTCTTATTTTTCTTCTTTACTGACGGAACAAATTGTGTTATAGCTGTGATACATCAGGAGTGGCATGTGCGTGGCGTGCACCGGCTACTTCACCATTAATTGAAAAAAAAAAGTTGAAGAAAAAAAAGACATTCTTCCAAAGAGTAGTAGTGATGATAATGTGCGAGTGTATGTGTGCGTGAGCGTGTGTTGATTGATATAGGCATAACTTTGTACCTGATGGATTGAGATGTGGTCGGGAATTCACCCCGTTCTACAGAATTTTTTTTTTCGCACTGACATCAAAAAGTTGTTTTTTTGTTTCTCTGTTAAAGTTCTTTGTTGATTTTACAACATGCTGACAATATGAAGAACTAAGCCCAGATGCAGTCATCACATTTTTAACTGTTAACTTACCAAATTAACGACAAGCATCAAATACCTGTATGAAATGTGTTGTTAAAAAATTGTAGAAAAAGATATCTACTGTATCTGTAAAATATAGAAACCAGTTGTTGTGTGTTTTTGTGCACAATAAGTCAAATGGAAAACAAACAGCAATGTGAGGAGAAGCAAATGTGTGCTAAGCGATAATTCTTTTATCTTGGGTTTATCAATTTTAGAGCATGACAGCTTATACTCTCTATTCTCCACAAGGAGGAGAATAAGATTAAACAAGAAACAACAACAACATTTGCAACCCCATTCTGTGTTATAGATAGAAAACGGAGGATGGCTGATAAAAAGGGATCATGCAAGGACCCGTACAATTTTGCTGCAAAAATCTCCATTTGAAAACATGTTGCTGTACCTCTAATCATCCTAACCAAGAGAGTGATTTATTCTGACTTCAAATATACGTCCTCCATATGAACTGTAGGTTAACTATATATTGTGTTTGTAGGTATTAGTACACTAGTGTAATAGTGTAAAGATTCTATCAAGTGCAGTGTCCAATAAATAGGGTTGGCAAAAAAATTTAATATCATAACTTGGAGTAACATTATATTAAAGTAAGGGTATGGGGCACCTTCTGTACCTTGTCCTTTTTTGGAATCTTTTATAACATATCGTGTGAGTACCTACAAACAATGATTTTTTGGGAAATTAAATTGGCAGCCGAGGCTTAATTGGAAATGGTCACTCATCCTTATCTCTCTGATGTTGCTCCAAGAAGTTTTCTTATGGGCAATACAAGGAACAAAAAGGTGCAGCAGATTCTGATCACTTTTGTGAGGAACTAGTGACATTTAGACAACAAGAAACACTTTTTGTCAGGACAAACAATACGTATTATTTTCCCTTTAGTCTTCTGCTTAGATCTTCTCTTCATTTAACTGATACTTTCAAGACTGAAAGATAATAATGTTGCAGCCCAAATATTGTTTGGTGAAAAAGTGGGCACCTCTAACTTCTCAAGAACAATTTTTGTCTTCTTGCTTCCAAAGAAATTTGAGGTGAGATATCATTCAAAGTGGGTTTTAGTTTCATATACTTTATTGGGGGGGAAAATTTCATCTTCTTTAATTTCACTGACTTCAGAGGCGTGTGTTACTTTTATTGCCAGTGTGAACGTCATCAGCTAATTTTCAATGCCACTTTATAGGTGTGAAAACATGTTGACTGTTGACATGTTGGAAAGAAAGGCAAAGTCATGCAGAGGGGAGCAGCAAGATTCATGTAAATATAACACCCATCTTATACCAAAAGTATTTACTTCCTTCATTGTAGATGAAAATTTGCAATGCCCCTGTAGACATTGTGATGACTTGATCTTTCCCAACTATATCCCTCTCATTTTACAATTAGTAAGGAGTAAAATAATATTCCCCTCCATGTAGAATTTTAAAAATTGATTGTTTTTTGACTACTTGTAAAAAGGCAAGGCATTTGTGATTTCTTTTAAAGAGGTCTGAAGTAAGTATGAAAGTCTCCAGCAAACATTAATGAAGAAAAATATTAAAAATGTACATATGTACGTGCATTATTTTTTCATGGAGAAAAATAAACTTGTAACATAGAAAGCATATCTGAAATCATGTACTTCAAACGAAGAGTATGATTTGTGGTTTCCAAAGATATTTTCATAGTTGTTCGAAGTCCTAGTAATTAAGAAATGGCTATTGTACTTCACTTCACTTCTCCACATCAAAATATATACTCAAGCAAGTTTTCCAAACCAATTTTATGCAAGACAGTCTCATTTGATATTGTTTCTTTATATCCCTTTTCTCTTCTAAGGCCTTGTAATTGCTCAGTTAAAGTCTACTTATGTTGAGTGCTCTCAATAGAACGACTATTACTCGTTAGTAGAGGGGAAACAGATTGTTATCAATGATAAAGTGAATGAGTGAGTCTAATGCCAGTCTAGAGAGAATGGAGACCACAGTATTCATTGGAAAATGCATTTCTGGAGACTTGATTAAACTCACAAGTAAAAACAGCAGAAATCTTAAGAAGAATTTTGAATTTGAATGGAATGAAAATTATTTTGAAAGATATTGTTTTGATTACAAAAACCCACCCCTCCCACCAACAGGAAAACAAACTTCCCGAACCAGAACACTGAAAAGGTTGTTTCCTGCCAATGCTGTAATAATGTTTATCACTACTTGGTGGGATATATTGCTACTGATTGGTCCCTATGGCTATGGCTTAACAACCCCAAATGCCTAAGTTGTCCTTCAACCTCATAATTGAACAATCAGTGACATCAGACAAATCTATGTGAAGAATAATTGCCATGCAACCAGCAAATTATATTGACGACTGCTTTCCTTTATTGTTACTCTACTTCGTGAAATGTTTCTGTCTCCCTTATCAACGACCATGTAAAAATTTGTACAAAACAAGTACTATAGATACATAGAGAAAAAAAAGAGCTGAGTACCAAATTGTTTTTGGGAAAATAAACCAATAAATACATCCCTTAATGTAAATCTATTATTAATAGAGCTGTACACCTTATTTACAAGACAATTGATTTCACTCACAGGAACACACACATCAGATCATGATCAATAGAAGAAATTATGAGGACCACCATGACAACAGTCCCAGGCCTGGTTCACTTATGCCACCCTATTGACACCACAAAAATGACAGTATATCAGTAAAGAAGAGAGAGTATAGAATTTCATGCAAACATTAAAGAAACTTACCGTTAGTGTGAAAGGTATTTTTTGTTCAGGTTTAGCTGCATCAGCAGGTACACCTACATCTGGAGTTTCTGGGCCAGTAGGGGAAGTTTCTGTGAAATTCTCAGCAGTAACTCGGAATCTAATAGGTTCACCTACAAACAGACAAACAATGAAAGTAAAATTGAACAAAACATAGTAAGATAGAAACAAAATCACTAGCCATATTATTTACCTGCATCCATAAACAGGTCATGTTTCTCTCCATCTGCTCCTGTGTCGTATTCCCACACCCAGACCTGCTCTGTCTCATCAAAGCGGGATGGATGTTGTAACGCAGTTGGAGGAATAATTATATCGTCAAAAAACCCTAGAGTTACTGTAGCGAAGAAATGTCCAAAATTGAAACCACATTTACATGAACTGAACATTAAGGCAAAGCGATGTCATGTAAGAGATGTAAAGGCAGGCAAGGCTCTCTCGCTTACCATGAACACCTTCTGGGCTGCAACTCCGAATTTTGCCAGTAAGGATTTCCTCTGTGAAAGGCCGGAATACAACATATCGGAATCTAACTTTGGTGTGCGCTGCTCCATCTCCAGGAAAAATGAAGGAATCCTCCATGGAAATAATGTCATGTAAAGCTATACAGAGACCAACGTTCAGGACAACCTGTGACAATGAGAGCATGGAAACACACATGGCAATGGAGCAAACAGGCAGGCACACAACATGCACAATCCTCAGAAGAAATTTTGCCCTGAGAGAGGTGCGAGTTCAGGAAAATACAGAAAAGACAAACAGTTTGCGGTTCTATTACCACGGTGCGCTGCAGGTTATGACAGACAGATATACAATGTTACCTTGTTGGCAAGTTTCTTGTTTAACTCCTCTGCAATGGCATCAGTTAATTTGACGTTAAACTTCCATGGTGGTGTCCGAATGACATGTTTCATTTCTGCCAGCACGAACATTATAAATGCCGAAGTATTTGATTATAACCGGCAAAAAATAACAGCATGCAGCAGAAACCATTCTAGACGTCAACATTCAACATTGGGGCGAGAGGGGGAGGGGGGAGGGTGGGGGAGGGCGTGTTCACTTGCCCAAGTGGTCCAGCGGTCAGTCGTCAGTCGTCGCGAGGCCGGCTGAATACACGAACACACCTTACTCACGACCAACTGGATCAGTTATCAGCTGCCTGCCTCTCCTAGCTGTTGAAAACTTTCTTGCCCGTGATTATTTTCTGCTTTTCGTTTGCGTCGTAGTTTGAAAGTGGTCTGCATCTTTGGCAACTAGTTCTAATCAACGTCGCAACCCCCTATCAACAGTTCAACGACGCCCTTTGGCTGCTAAATGGGGGTCTTTGTCGCATCTGAAGCCTAACGATAGGCTGCTGCCGCTGTATTTTGCATCGTTCGGCCTAAAACTTGTTCTGCAATGAGTCTGCCAACGACCCAAGGAGCTTTGAGCAAGCTCAAAAAGAAACATTTTCGAGTTAAACATCAAAAAGTAAAGTTATTCCGAGCCAATGAGCCTCTCCTTTCCGTCTTCATGTGGGGAGTCAACCACACAGTAAGTCATCACGAACCTTCAAAGTATAAGTTGGGGTTATCTGCCTTGTTGTTATTAATCACACAACCAGCAGAAGTTATATATTCTGCAGCTGCGCCAAGTTATTGGAGGCAAATATTCATTGTCACTTGCACGACGTCCCCCTGTCTCTACTTATCTTGCATTTGCTTTTCCTCATTAGTTATGGTTATTCCCATTCCATTCAAATCAATTTGTCATTACCTGTCACACAAAAGACATAGATTTCAACCTCTATTTTGACTCTTTGGCCTTCAATTCAGTCTTTTTTGTCACTTTTCACTCTTGTGCCTCCATCCTGTTAAGACATGGAAGTATGTGACATCTGGCTTTCAGGGCAACTTATCATTGATTGATAGATTGATTGATTCATTCATTTATTCATTCAAATTGAAGTGCTATAAATGTCTGATTTTCTTATCTTATTACTTTACTCCTTGTTTTCTGCAAATGTTGTGTATTTTGTTTATTCTTACTTCACTTCCCAAATTAAATGCCTTTTCTTTCTGTTTCAGATCAATGAATTGAGCCACATGACAATTCCTGTCATGCTTTTGCCAGATGACTTCAAGGCTTATTCTAAGCTCAAAGTTGATAATCATCTTTTCAACAAGTCAGTATTTTTCAAAATATTGTCACCTTAACATCAAAAAGAATTCCATTTGAATTTCATGATGCAATGTCTGATGCATAAATCATTTTTAGGGAAAATATGCCCAGCCACTTCAAAGTCAAAGAATACTGCCCTCTAGTTTTTCGCAACTTGCGTGAGCGCTTTGGTGTTGATGACATTGACTACAAGGAATCAATGACGAGGCAAGTAACAATTTTCTGTCATAAAGTTTATCTATAGCTTGAGGATGTAGATAATTTTCTTATCTTTGTCATTTCCTGTGTTTTACAAGCACCTGTCGAGTAATATTATCTTATTGTAAAGTTGTCTTACTTCGTAGCTGCACAGGCTTCTAAGCATTCTTCTTAAACAAATTATTTATACCATGCATGCAGTGCTTATTATATGTTCACAACAACATTGCTACGAACAGCTACACTTACTTTGAAGAAATAACAGATCTATTATTTCAGAAACAAAAGAATTCAACAAAAACATACTTGTTTCTCATTAGGTGTAACTTCTTTTTCATTTATTATCAAGTTAGATTTTGTGATTTGAGACCAAGGTGTATGTTGCACAGCACAACTCATCCGCATTGTGAATTTTGACTTTCTTAGTTTCCTTTTCTTAATGTTCCTTTCATTTGATAACTAGTTTAAAAAAAAAAAAGATAAAATGATATTGTCTTCCCTCAACTTAGTGAACAAATTCTGGGTTGTGGTTAGGACCCAACGCTATCAAATGTGGCGAAGAGCACAGCCTGACGACAGTTGGCATGAATCGCCTCATGGGTTGCACCGTTCTTTCACTCTTCCTGCTCACCCCACCTACCATGATGATGGTACATCCCCACGTATCTCTGGTTACAGTCAGAAGTTACGACAAAAGCGCATGAGGTCAGTCATTGGGTGCCAGGGTGTGACAAGCGTGGTTTGTTTTGTCATGAGCTGTTATACTGTTCCGTGCTTTGAAGCATTGTGCTTTTGCATCATTCTCTGTATTATATGGTTGTCTTATTTGTGTTGTAGCTGTATTAACGCTCAATGTGTGGGTTGTTTTAAGGTTTACAATATATGTTTCATTCCAGCCCACAGGAAATTGTGGACCATATCTAGGTTTCATTGTGCATTGCATTGCTAATCACATTCTGAGAGGGTTAACTGGTTTTCTGTCATGCAAATGTCCTGGCCTTTTTGTGATCTCAATGGCTTCTTGTTGTGTTCCTAATCTGTCATTTAATGCCACCCCAGAAACTAACAAACTCCCTGTTTGTGTGTTTGAGAGAGTCAATGCTAACTTGAAATGTTAACTAATAGTTACAACCGTGTGCTGTATGTTGATTTCAGGTCTCAACCAGTAACTATGGATAACCCAGGGAAATCGGGTGCTAAGTTTTACCAATCCTATGATCGCTTGTTTATTTTGAAGAGTCTCACCAGTGAAGAAGTTGAGAGAATGCACTCGTTTTTGAAAGACTATCATCCAGTGAGTACATTCATTTAACCCTGTGCATGTAGTTCCAGCTTATTTGAGGGAAGACATTACCTTAACTCGGAGGAACATAAACGTTTCGTTTTCTGTTTCAGTATATTGTTGAAAGACATGGGAAAACACTTTTGCCTCAATATTTAGGCATGTATCGTATTACAGTAGATGGTGTGGAACATTATTTGGTTGCAATGAGAAATGTTTTCAGCAATCATCTTCAAATTCATAGGTAATTTAGGCCTCCATGTTTTAAATATTAATTCTTTTATCTCTCCTTTCTTGTGAATCTTAAAATTAATTTTGTTTGCAGAAAATTTGATTTGAAAGGATCTACAGTTGACCGAGAGGCCTCTGATAAAGAAAAAGAGAAAGATCTTCCTACACTCAAAGACAATGACTTTGTGAAGGAAGGAAAGAAGATTTTTATTGGTGATGAGGCAAAAGATAAATTGATGGATACATTAACTGCAGATGTTGGCGTAAGTATTTTTCTTGTGTGTAGGGGAAAAGTCCCAATAAAGACTTTTGTATTAACCTGTATCTTAATATTTTCAGTTTTTAACTAAGCTTCACTTAATGGATTATTCTCTACTGCTTGGAATCCATGACTGCGCAAGGGCAGAGCAAGAAAACAGAGAAAGACAAGAGCAAGAAAGTGAGGAAAATGATGACAATGATGATGACAGTGATTCTGGTAGTGGACTTGAAAATCGAAATGTTGGAGATGGGTTAGTTGCATTTATTAGTACTAGTGAGGATCTAACCATAGTTGCCCAGGGCTTGTAGTTCACTTATATTTTTTATGTTCTAGTCGATACAGTTACTGGGGCGGCGGTGGCATTTCTACTCCCCCAGATTCTCCACATGCCGCTGCACAGTTTATGAGAGAGTCAAGCCTTCAGTATGATGGTTGCATTGTACCTGAACTTGACATCTATGCCATTCCTAGCTCTGAAGGTATGTCTCATTCTTACCTATAAGAGGGAAAACTTTATCAATAGCTCAATTTCACTAATGTAATTGTTTTTCTTGTCATTTTAGGAGCACTAATCAAAGAAATATACTTCTTGGCTTTAATTGATGTCCTAACACATTATGGTGTAAAGAAACAAGCTGCTAAAGCCGCCAAAAGTGTGAAATATGGTTCAAATGTGGATGGTATATCAACCTGTGATCCTGAGGTTTATGGGAGACGTTTCCTAGAGTTCCTCAGCAAAGCTATCGAGTAAATGCTCTCATGATGTTATGGCCTAAGTTATGACTTATGACTGAGGGGAAAAGAATTGAGCAGATCGAAATTTGTAATAGATACCCAGTGCAGAAGGTGTTGGAAGGCATCATATCATTCTTTGATTTTTTACTTAATTTTCATGAGCAGAACATGGAGGCCTACATGTCATCACACCTAGTAGTTTTCTTTCCTCATTAATTTGTCAAATGGGAACGTGTACAATTCTGTTTGACTGTCGCCTGAGCCTTATGTCTGAAATATTTCAGCTGAGTTCAGGATGATCCTTTCTAATAATTTCATTGTGAAGAATTCCCCCTTTGCTTGGAAAAATTTCTTAAATGTTTCCTAAAGTGGCTTATGTTTTTCCATTTTTTTTTGTACTATTGAGTTGGATTTGACATGCTCCCATTTGACTCCTTTTTCTACTTTGCAATTAATCTATGTGGGAAAGAGAGAAACCACTGGTAAGAAGCTTTCACCAAATATTCCGTTTCTCCACATCACTTCATGGTCGCATTTTCTACAGATCTTTTCTACAAGTGTTCAATTATTATCTTATTCATTAAATATTTCTGTTATTTTTTTCTGACTAAATGAGGTAGAGATTTAAAATTTATGGTGGCCACTTAAAATTAATTTATTCCTTTGGTGAATATATTCTTCCTTGGTGTCACAGTGAAGGGTTAATCCTTCGTTTGTCAAAAGTTGTAAGCCTTTTTTTCGTAAGATTCTGGAAGTGGAATTTGCTCATATGTATGAAGTGTTTGCATTATATCATTTACATCTAAGCATTATGACGCACATTTTACTCTCACTTAGTTTGGGGGTCTTGTACTGTATTTAATAGGTGTGAATCATCACTTTGAAGCAAGTCTGCTTCTTCTCTTGTTCAAATATCCTCTGCTTTATCAATGTTATATTAATAATGTGCAATATCTGTGCGACAGGCGTCTTTTCTTGTTCCTTTTTAGTCTTCTGTTTTTGTTTGTTTGTTATATTTCTCTGCAGTCCTTACATCTCTTTAGTTAAACATTCTTGCCTGTTAGCAGTATATTCATAAATTAAATAGGCAGCAAGAATGCAACTCACTCTTTTACTAGCAGGTATGTCTTTAAAGGAGTGGTAAAAGTATTAATTTTAGCTGTGTGAATATCAGGTAACATGTAAGTGTTTGTCATGTCCAAGCTCAATCAGTTTTATTATTGTTAATATAATTATGTAGTTGAATGTTTTGTTTCTTCATGCCAAATTACTATTAAGTATTTTATTTTGTTAATGGTATGTGTTTTTTCCCCCTTTTTGGCTTTTAAAGGCTTGTATAGATGCCCCTCCTGTATGTATCTCTTATTCTAGTCGTATATTGTTGCTCCGTTGAATTTGTTTGGTTTGGTCAGACACAATATAAGACTTATTTCTGAAGACTGGTTGAAAGTTCTTTTGAGTTTTGTGCATACCATGTATGCACCTGAGTAAACTCTTTCACAGCTAAGAGAATATGTTAAGTGTGTATGAGAGCCATGAAAATATATCATGTAAAACATGATGTTTAAGAAAATAGCCTGACTACTGTAGTCTGCTTTATAATTCTAGTGATTTTGTCATGGTCAAAGGCCAGTGTGCTGCTAATGAAGGTGAGACACATATATACATTAAAGTTTCTACTATTTGTGCATCAAATCAGTCTAAATGTTATTTTGTTAGCATCCACACTATGTTGGAGTTTTTAAAAGAATATCTTATTTGAAAAGCCATTATTTGTTTCACTTTATTCACAAGACTACACAAGATAAAATAATGTATCCCAAGTAAGAAATAAATATGCATTTGTTTTTTGTTTTAGACCAGAATCCATAAATTGGGCTAAGTATACCGCCTCTTTGAAAGATCATTTAATTACTGGTATGTGTATCTTCTGGTGCCAAATTATACCATTGGTGATGGGAACTCGCATTTTAGGGCTTTATGATCTCATAATGGGATAGTAGTGGATTGTGTGTCGCATGTGGATAATTTTGTTCATCTGCATTTCAAGATACATTTTAAGTTTTGAGATGTTGTAAAAGTCTCTTTTTTTTTGGGTATAGTTATGAGATGCTAAATGCATGTAAGCACCAATCACCTCAAATTTGCAGATCATACAAGGTCCTTTTGCTTTTAACATTTGCTCATGATGTGCCCTGTGTAATCTGGAATCATTTTTATAATGGTTTTGTCATAATATGGAGAGAGTGCATGTGTCTGTGTGATGTGCTGTATTGTGATGATTGAGAATCTTATTTGTGTTGGTTTGGTTTAAGTATTGATAAGAAACCTGTGACAGGACAGGCTTTTCGAGCTGGATTCTGAGGTTTTGACTTGGCTCTGTATTACGACTTTTTTTCTTAAGCTTACCTGTCATTGTTTTTCTTGGTGTCGTTTGGCCAGCCATAAAGCTCTCAACAATACTGTTATACTACCTGATTAAAACATTAGAGGTAGAAGAAAATGAAGATGTTAATACGCAGGATGATTTAGAGCCAGTGTTAGGTGCAACATTTTGTCAGTAAGTTGTATGAGATGTATGAATCAATTACATTCAGACGCTTATTTCCCATTGAAGGAAAACCTTCATTGTAACCCAATTCTTTAAAAAAAAATTTGTTCCATAGAAACTTACTTAATTCATTGAATGCGAAACATCCTCATTCATAGGCCCTGATTGTCATGATGTGAGTCAACGTCCTGCCTTTTGTCCGCATGCGCTTTTTAGAGGCGGAATGTAAACAATATTTTTTCCCATTTTTATATCTTTTTAACCTGTAACTCGCGCATTTTGTTGAAATTCAATAAATCAAAAGTTGCCCCGCAATTTGTTTCCTCCTTTCTACTTTACACTTGATCCACCTCCACCATGGCTCTGCCAAGGTGGTGGCCGCAAACAGGACGGGCACGCGTCTGATCTTCGCAGTGTACAGTGTACTGTACTCACGGAGCGCCCAGGCGATAGGAGTGCGCGCAGTCAAGTCGCAGGGGCGCAGTGCGGGGCCGTGCGGTGGAGCGGCGGAGTGGCCAGGTGCAGGACGGGCATGGTCAGCCCCGGCGCCTGATGCCCGCCGGCGTCCTGGAGGTCGCGGCCAAGGCCGTGGTGCTGCTGTTGCTCGCGCTGCTGGGCACTGCCACCAGCGCCGTCACCACCGTCACCACGAGCACGGCCAGCTCCGCTGCGGCCAACGCCAACCTCGGCTCCATCAACCTCCAGGGCGCCAGGAAGCCCGGCGACCAGCTGTTGTTCGAGTACAGGGTGACGAGGCGCGCCAAGCCCTTCAAGGTGCGTACAGTGTGAGCCTGCGCGTTCCGGGGCGAGGGCGCAAAGCGCCAACTTCTGTCTGAACTGCGTCGCGTCCTGAACACAGGTCATCACCGAGGCCGTGGTGTACCCCATGACGACGGGGCAGAAGCCGGGGGTCATCACGCTGATCGAGGTCCGCAGCCCCAAGCGGCGGCACGACGAGGTGCACATCAAGAGCGGCGGCGTGGGCGAGCGCTCCGCCACCATCCTCTTGAAGTCGGCGCGGGGCCGCGGCCTGGACGTCGTCGTCAACATCTTCGGCATCCCGGCCAACGCCAAGCCGACCTCTGCCTCGCCCGAGGCTGGCGATGCCGGGGACGCCACCGCGGACGGAGACGCCGCCGCGAGTGCCAGCCAGACCAGCACCAGCGGCGACGAGGGCGCGACCACGACGGCCGCCGCGGACGCAGAGCGCTGAGACGACCGCGTCAAATCTCTCCAGAAAATCGACTGGAGTCCCACATCCCAGGTGACCCCAACACCCCGAGTGTTATCGAAAGCGCGCCGCTCCTGCAGTCCAGGAGGAGGTGGGGGTGGGGGACAAGAGACGGGACACCGATCTGGTGATGTACAGTGACGTAGGGCTGTAGTGTCTGGTGGTCTCTGACTACTTGATTCAACGCCACGCTGTAGGCTGCGAGTGCTGCACTTGTCGCTGCCACGCCTGGCCACCGCACGTAAACCTTCGACATTTAGTTAGCGTCTTACCCTCTTTATCGACGAAGCTGTTGCTGCGATTGGTGCATGGTGAAACGCGAGTGTCGTCCTGGATGCTAGATAGGGTTAAATTAAACTGAATTATTTGCGCCTCCCTAATGGTTTACAAAAACTTATTTTAATTCTTAAAAACAATTCAAAAAACTTTTTTTTCATTAACACAGTGTTTTTTACACTCTATCGCAAAACAGAAACGTAGAAACATACGAACTAGTTAACAAATTGAGAATTGAGGACAACGAATGACCTACCCCTTTGACACAAACTTTTTTCGAACCCAGGACGAATCGAACCCGTTTTCTATGTATAGCTTAGCTTCTGGCTAGATGGGTGTGCCAAGCGTGGATTGTCGTAACTGGCGCAGCATCGCAAAGCCTGTTGCGGCAAGACACGCTCTGGCGCACACCTGCTTTGTTATTTAGTCTGCAGTCCTGGCAGTGCCTTCAAGGCGGCCGGATTCTCCATCATGTCAGCCGCGCGCCTCTTGCTGCTCTGGTTGCGGTTGGCGACGTACTCCGCGTAGCTGAGGTAGCCGTCGTTGTCCGCGTCGTCTTCGCGCAGCACCTCGTCAATCAGTTCGATGTAGTACTCTATCGGCGTGGGGTGCTTGGCCTGCTCCTGGACCGAATTTTCTTCTTGGTCTTCGTGCTCCCCGTGGTCGTGGTCCTCGGCTGTGTGCATGATGGCTCGCAGTAGTTCCAAGCCGTCCAGTTTCGTGTTCTGGTCCGAATCGTGCGCCCTGCAACACCACAGAGCGTAAGGGCGTCTCCGAACCACCGCCTGCGATCGTGACAGCACCCTGACCGCGCGGAGCTTACTTGAAGTAGTGGAACTGCAGCTCCTCCGGCGACATGCTGTCGAGCGCCTCGTCGGTCACCCAGTCACCCAGGTCTTCCCGGATGTGTCTGAAATTCGATCCAAAAAAAGGCGGTTTTAGTGGACAAACCCCCCGGTGGCGGCAAGTGGGGGCATCGCGACGTACTCCTTGTCCTGCAGCAGCATCTCGTCCTGGGTGATCTTGGTGTGCTGCTCGGGCCGCGGCTGGTAGTGCTGGTGCTTGATGACCTCCCCGCGCGGGTGGTGCGGGCCGCGCATGCCGCACGCCGAGGACGGCCACAACACGAGCACCACGACGGCCGTCACCGCGGCCACGAGCAGCGGCGACGGCAGCGGCCCCGGCAGGTGGCGGTAGCGCTGCAGCACGACAAGACAGTGTGGTCAACAACCGTGCGCTTCCGCTGGAATTTTTATTTTGAATCAATGCAACTTTGAACGCAGAGTTTTTTTTTCCATAGGTCGAGTTCCACTGATTTACTGTACTTTTCCGTTCCACGCTCACCTGCACCTGCTTTGCGTCGGGGCACTGCTCTCGCTCCGTCCGCGGACTCGGCGGCGGGCAGTCGGCGGCATCGTCCGGGCGGAGGCCGTGGAGGCCGTGGAGGCACTCCCAGGACCTCTCCGGCGGGACGACCCGGGCGTACGCGGCGCCCTCCACGCTGCCAACAACAAGTCGAGCAAGAAGTGCACAAAGTGTCCAGTGTGGTTCGGCCAACCTGTCCGCCGCGACAGCGTTCCTTCCTTTCCCTTCGCGCTGCCGAGGCTGCCGAGGGAGAGAGAGGGAGAGGGCCGGTCCATTGTCTCGAGTCACCATATGGCGGCCCGGCCACCCTCTGGAGGGGGAGGGAGGGGGGCACCGCGACACGCCTCCAGCGGACAAAAAGCGCGACAAATAGACTGTAATAACACACCTCGGCCGCGGTCCTCGCGGATTCCGGGCCACTCGATCGACCCCCTGCGGCGAGGCTAGCGAGGCCAGCCCCGCCAGCCCCGCCAGCGCGTGCAGCCAGCCGAGTGCCGCGGGGGAGGCGCGACGCTGCGACGCGCAGATGCGTGCGGCAGGCTGATTGCTGCGTCGACACTCCGTCTCTCTCGCACTCATCGGGTGGTCGCGCGGGTGCGAGAGAGACAAATCGACGAGCCTGCTGCCTGATGCGCGTCTTCGGGGGACACGCAGTGAGTGGCTCTCCGGCCAGAAGGACATGCAGAGCGAGCAGAGCGAGCAGAACTGCGGGCAGTTTGCAGCTGTCGGACTCGACTTCATGCTAATTTGGCAAAAGATTTTGCGAAAAAATTATTGGTTGACTACACTTTTAAACGACGAGCGATGTGTGTTTACGAAGACGGTTCCGCAAAGTCTCCGAAGAAAAACCCGCGAAGAAAGTGAAATTACGATACGCTTGACGATTATTGCACGAATAAGTTAAAAGAAAATTTTAAATTGAAATGTTTGAATTGCAGTTTGCATGTTCGGCGGGCGCTCGGTGGCTGGGGCTAAGGTGGAGCTGGGGCTGAGTTTTAAGGCCGACGGCCGACGCGGTGCTGGTGAGCGGGTTGCCTATGCTCGACTCGGCGGGCGCACAGTGCGGTGGAGTCGGTGGAGCATGGCCCGCTAGGCCAGCGGTTCTCAACCTTTCTCGGCTCGCGACCCCAAATTTGTAGCCAAAAATTTCCGCGACCCCCAGGAAAAGTTTCACGACCCCACGGGACCCCTCCTTTAGCATGCCACTGCGTCTGATCCGAGGCGGGCATTTTGCTCCCTCAACGGGCAATTGGTCTTTGGACTTTCCTTTAGCATGCCTCTGTTACGGAGTGCGATTATCAGTCTTAGTTTGGGGGCAGTATTGTCTCAAAGTTGGCCAAAACGCTCAGAAATGTCTTTGAAAAATCATGTTTTGGGTCGATTTTAAGCAGCCACTGCGTCTGATCCGAGCCGGGCATTTTGCTCCCTCAACGGGCAATTGTTCTTTGGACCTTCCTTTAGCATGCCTCTGTTACGGAATGCGATTATCAGTCTTAGTTTGGGAGCAGTATTGTCTCAAAGTTGACCAAAACAGTCACAACGGTTTTTCAAAGACATTTCTGAGCGTTTCGGCCAACTTTGAGACAATACTGCTCCCAAACTAAGACTGATAATCACACTCCGTAACAAAGGCATGCTAAAGGAAGGTCCAAAGACCAATTGCCCGTTGAAGGAGGACGAAATACCGCCTCGGGTCAGACGCAGTGGCTGCTTAAAATCGGCCCAAAACACGATTTTTCAAAGACATTTCTGACCGTTTTGGTAAACTTTGAGACAATACTGCTCCCAAACTAAGACTGATAATCACACTCCGTAACAAAGGCATGCTAAAGGAAGGTCCAAAGACCAATTGCCCGTTGAAGGAGGACGAAATACCGCCTCGGGTCAGACGCAGTGGCTGCTTAAAATCGGCCCAAAACACGATTTTTCAAAGACATTTCTGACCGTTTTGGTAAACTTTGAGACAATACTGCTCCCAAACTAAGACTGATAATCACACTCCGTAACAAAGGCATGCTAAAGGAAGGTCCAAAGACCAATTGCCCGTTGAGGGAGCAAAATGCCCGCCTCGGATCAGACGCAGTGGCTGCTTAAAATCGGCCCAAAACACGACCCCAGCTACCTCGCCGCGACCCCTTAAAATTTTTTCGCGACCCCACTTGGGGTCGCGACCCTAAGGTTGAGAACCACTGCGCTAGGCTGAGTGCGCTGAAGACCCGTCGCCTCGCCTCCAAATTAGAAAATAGGAAACCATTGACAACTTCCCCACACTGTACGTATGGAAAGAAACTGCGTTGCCCTTGTTCTGCGTGTTGCAGCCAAACTCAGTGTTTGTAATCAATTTTTGAGAGAATTGGCTGCATTTTAAATTTTCTTCTTTCGAACACGAATGAAATCGGATTTAATTAGTTTTCTGTTGTTCCTGAATCAAACTAAACTTATCCTAGGGTTTGTCGCGCTTTCAAAAACCGAAAAAAAAAGAAAGTAATACTAAAAGCGCCACAGGTCAATACATCCCCCACAAAAGAAGAAAGCGGCGAGCAGGCCGTGCTGCTGGCGCTGCTGGCGTCCCGGACGCATGCCGCACCGCACGGCGCCTCGCCGCACAGCGGGCCGACGCACCGCGCCAGCACCGCGCACCGCGCACCGCCACTCAAAGGGAATAATCAGATCAAAATCAAATCACGGCCCGGTGCCCGGCCATGCCCGGCCGGCTGGTTGACTCGAAAAATCCACGCCGGCAGTGAAACGATGATGATGGATTTATTTGGCTTCTCCATTCACTGCTCGTGTGTGTGTGTGTGCGTGTGTGTGACTGTGTGTGTGCGACACGCGTGCGGGGTGACTCTGGTGACCGCAGCGCGTGCCGCCGTGGCGCCGGCACGTGCCCTGGCCTTCCCTCGCATTGTTTGCCTATCACAGCCTACTCGACGGACTCGATGGCGCGCACAGTGCAGCATCACTTGGCGCCCCGAGCCGCACCCTGCCCTCCCACATCCTCACCGTGTCCGTGACGCGCTTCGAGAAGGCGAGCGCCAGGAGGGCAACACGGCAAGACCCCATTTCGCAAATATCCCGCGGCCGCAGTTTTCGGCAGGCCCAGTCTCGTCACTGTCACGATCAACCTGCCTCTTTGCTCCTCCCATCAAATACAAGACGTTCGTCCGGGGAAAAAAAATCATAAAAAAATGGTCTGAGACAAAATAAGAATTTGGCTAAAAGCCTGCGAGGCGGGGCGAAGGTGGCCCGCCGTTGATGGCATCTCATCTCATTCCGGATGTCAGCGCCCGAGGACTCGGCACGCCCCGCCCCGCCCCGCCCTCACCGAGGCCGCGCCTCACATGAGCAGGGCGCGGTGCCGTGGCGGCGCGGCGTCGCACACAACGCTTTACACTTGTCTAAACCGATTTCTCGACGCCGCGACGCCGCGCTGATGGCCCCATCTATTGAAGAAGAAAAGGACCTCCTTCTCCTTCCCGGCAAGGACCAAGGACGAGGAGGGCACGGCGGCGCGGTGAGTCGGCGGCCCAAAAAGCTTTTCGTTCGGGATGCCTCGCCGCCCCGCGCCGCCCCGCACCCTCCGCCCCGCCTTGCACGTTTATTCGTCGGAGAGGCGCCGTGCCGCCATGACGCCGTGCCGCCATCGCCGTGGCCTCGCGGCGCCCTCTGACGCGGCACCGCGGCGCTACATAAATATTTTCTATAAAATAGTGAAACAGCTTTTAGCACTGCGGGCCGGGCGAAAGCGGGCGAGAGCGTAGCCCGGCGTAGCCCGAGGGGGCGGGCGGCGAGAGCACGCCAAGAGCACGGCGACGACGGCGCCAGGCCAGGGCTTTGCTGCCGCGCTGGTGCACCTCACCTCCGCGCCCCGCCGTGCCTCCGCTCTCCGCGCTCCACGCCCGGGGCAGGGCAGACGTCTTAAGAGAAAGAAACTGGAATGCGGGCAAAATGCTTTATGAGTGTGCATGTGGCATAAGGCGAGGGCTCCGTCGGGCTCCGCGGACGATCAAAGGATGCCGTGCGTTCTGACGGCCCGACGGCAGGGACGGCGGTGAAAGCGGCATGACGCAGACGCCGTAGCCGCGCCGCTCCGAGGGGATTTGCATATTTCATTATCCGCCAAAATAAGAGGTAATGTGCGGAGCTGACTGTTTACTTGGGCGAGGCTGTCGTTCCTCCGCTGTCTCTGTCGCACTCATGGGGCGCCCCGTAAGGGTGCGACAGAGACAGAGCGATGGAAGGACGCCTCGGAATCGGCGAGCAGGCCGAGCAAGCGGCGTTCCTCGCGAATGGCGTCGCCGCCCTGCACTGCGAGATTCCGCGAATAGCGGACTGATTCCGAGAGTCGTTTTCGTCGCTCTGGCCCTTCCCGCACTCATGGCGCGTCGCGAACAGGTGCGAGCGAGACAGGGCGACGAAAACGACTCTCGGCATCAGTCCACAACGAGGACACCTCGTCTCGAGCGTGCCTCCAGTTCGGTGGTTGGAAGCACCAGCGGGGCTCGCGGTAGGTAAGACCATTCCACGTGTGGGCCTGGCGGGGGCCTGCACCGCTGTGGCGCTGTGGCTGCGACACGCCGCACGCTCGGTGAGGTGGGCGGGGAGGGGTGGGGGCGGGCGCAATCTGATACCGCGCTGCGGGCTGCGCGACACACTGGCAAGGCCAAGCTGTGCGGCAAGTGCAGTGCAGTCCAGCGAGTCCGCCGCCAGGCCCAGGCCAGGCCGGCCGCAGCGCGCTCGCTACAGCACCATGCAGGCTGGGCAGCACAGGCGGTGCGCCGCGGGGGGCGGGGTGGCGCGGGGAGGCGCCGCGCGGCCCGGGGCGTTCTCGGGGCGTTCTTGGGGCGTGCCCGGGGCGGTGTGCGACGCACGCCGCCTACATCACGGCAAGATATGTCGACAACAAGATGACCGCGGGGCTGGCGTTGAAACGCGTTGGAAACCCGGGCGCGACCTTCGTGTGTGTGAGGATGATGGGCTCGCGGATCTCGATTGATTGTGACCACCGCGTTCTCCCCCAACCACCACCACCACCGCCACGCCCCGCTGCTACAAGTTGAGGGCAAGTGAGTGCAGGCCGCGCGTGGCTGCGTCCTCGCGGTCCTCGCTGCTGGACGCCCTGCCCGGCCGCCTGCCTGCCGCCCCCGCTGGCGGCCTCCCCCATCGCCACCCCCGCGAGGCGCCCTGCCCGCACCGCCCCGCCGCCCCGCCCCCCAACTGCTACCCTCGGAGCAGTCTGTTCATTTGGTTTGACATCAAAGTCGCAGCTCGGGCTGGTGGGGGGGGCGGGGCGGGCGGGGCCGTCCGGCCAGGGCCGCCAGGGCCGCCAGGGCCGGCAGCAGCGAGCGTCCTTCTGTCTCGTCTTTTGGCAAGACGAGTCGGCGACGGAAGACGTCGTGGCCCTCAGCCCGGCGCGGCGTAGCGTAGCGCGCCACTCAAACCAAATGG